TCAGCAACAGCGTCATATTTTCCTAGACGCTTTATCTTCTCCTCCCACTAAAATAAAGTTCCTTCTTCTATACTTTGTAAATCTCTCATAATACTTAAGATACTGGTGCATGTATTATTCATCATGCTCTCTGGGGTACCTGACTGGTGCAAACAGTTAGTATGCTTGATTGCTAACCGAAAGGTTAAAGGTTCAAAGGTCACACAGAGGCACCTTGGAAGAAAGACCTGGAGATCTACTTTAGAAAAATCAGCCATGGAAACCCCACAGAGCACCGTTCTACTCTGACACTCTTGGATTGCCACAGCAGCAACTGGTTTGGTGGCTATGCTTTCTAGACTGCCAACTATGTGAAGTTAAGGCCCACTCTCATTTCACTTTGTGTTTCAGCATTTAACATAGTGTTGACACAAGGGTACTGCTCAAATATTTTGCAAATCAATAAATTAATGAATGAAAGCCCCTTCCTATTTCATGCTTTTTGTTCTCAACTCTCTCTGTATACTTTCCTCTCTCCCACGTGTTTTCTTCAGGTTAACTTTTCTTTATACTCTTGTTAACTGTAACTAGATTTCTGCAAGGTTTTGGACTCAATACAAATGTCATGACCTTTAATTAGAGTTTTCTTAGCTCTACAGATGTTGAAAAATGGATTTTGAACCTTAGCAAATAAACCCAAAAAAAGTTTAAACATTTGTGGGGTGATGTGGCAATGGAAGAAAGACGTTATTGGTTATGAGACAGTGGAGACATCGATAAGGCTAACATTCTTTACTCAAGCAACACAGATCATACTCCGTTCCACTGAGACGTCAGGTAATGACCTTTCTCAAGTCAAGAGGTCTCCTGAGGTGTCCTAGGTGGATATGAAAGATAAAAACACTGTTAAAAACCTTTCGTAGAGAATACTATGAAATAATGAAAATAAACTTCTTAATGTACTAGCATAAATAGTAAGTGTAGAATAATCTATAGGCCTGCAAGTTTGGTTTGAACTGTAAGGTTGGAGGTTCAGACCCACCAGCAGCTCCTCAGAAACCCTACACAGGATTGCTAAGTCAGAAACCTCTCGTTGGCACTTAAAACAACAGAAAATCAGTTTTAATCCTTAATCTCCATCTTCTTGTTAAAGCAGAGTATCCAGAGACCGTTGTTTCCTTGAAATTTATCACAGGGTAACCAGAATAAGGAACAAGGCCAAACAGTGGTTTGTTGTTGTTACGTGTTGTCGAGGTGGTTCCGACCCACAGTGACCCTGTATAGGGTTTTCGAGGAGCAGCTGGTGTTGCTTGAACCGCCGACCTTGCAGTCTGATGGCTTGACCAAGTGTGCAGATTCTTTCTTCAGATACCAGTAGATTAATTCTCCTCTTGGGCCCTTCCATTTGCTTTGAGAGTGAGAGGTGTCAGATAATTGGACTGTGCTCCAAGTTCTTGTATCTAGATCATGTCCTTTATGAACTGCCTGAGGACCATCATGATACACTCAAAGTCAGTGAGCAAGTCATTGGTTTGAAGAGCCTCATTAGCATCTTTTCCTGGGAACACTGTTTTCTCCCTTTGCTAGATAAGGTGCTCCAGGCTTGGATCCTAAAGCGGTATTTTGAGCAATTCAATAGCAGAGCAGCATGAATTAGCAGCAAAACCAAGAGGCAGCAGCCAACGTGTACTGGCTTTTAAGATTGTTAGCAGCAATTTCCCACTCCTAGCCTGAATTCAGTGAAAATGATGATAGTCAGGCACACCCAAGTTACATTATTTATTGTAATACTAAATCATTGATAATGTAGAGAAGTGTTTTGAAACCAAACAGCATAAAGCTAATAGAGAAAACAGCTGTCATTTTCAATTTCTTTCCTTGTAGCTCTTTAAAACTTGAGCTTTGCAAAATACAGTTCAGCTGTATTTAAGTTCCAGTTAATTTTTTTTTTTTGCTTCTCTGGTTTCTGAGGGTTTAAGTGTCCCACTTAGCATGTGTAAGGCTTCTAGCGGGGACATGTATAACTGTTTATATCTTAAGAAACGTTTTTGGAGCGAAATCACTGTTCAAACATAGTGCATTCTAGAGGTGAGACTGTGTAAAATGTTTCTCTTTTGGCTGTTTAATAGTGAGATAAGCCGTGTCTAGAAGCTATCAGCTCAGTGATCATTTAATTTCAAGCAAATAGATTACTTTGAGGTACAATGCATTATAAGCACATGCTATCGTGTCCTTGCATTCCTGGTGTAGCACTGTAGGATTAGCACTGGACTATAAACCACAAGTTCGGCAGTTCAGCTCCACCAGTTGCTCCTCAGAAACCCTATATAGAGTCAGGCACTGTGAGTCAAAACTGACTCTACAGCACTTAACAACCATTGTGTCCTTGATATACTATATGTCCATTTCTTGTAAACTGTCAAGGACTTCTCTTCTGGTTTACAGGCTGTGAATACTGATCTTGCAGTAAAATGAATGCACTGTTAATTTTCCCATGACGCGAATCCATTTGTTTGTGTGTAAACACACGGTGGGATGTACACAATTTCTCCCCTTACATGTGCTCATGATGTTGGTGTGGAGGTACGATAACTATATTATCCTAATTTTGTAGAAACTAAAATTATCCTTTTCTGGAAAATTCCTCTTTTTTAGAAAAGGACTTTTTGGAGGCTGAAGGCATTCTAAATCGTTGATATTCTGTACTAGACAGTGAGGGTGAATCTGAGGAGGGAGGAATGCGATGAAGATGCTTACCTGTCTGTCTCGTGGAATGTGAAGGCCTTTTTTTTTTTTTGAGGTTTTTATTGTGCGTTGAGTGAAAGTTTACAGGGCAGATCATCAGTTTTACATTCAACAAATCATATACCTTGTTTCATTACATTGATTATAATCCCCTCTATATACCATCAGTTAACAGTATTTCTCTCTATCCACTTTAGTTTTTTAAAAAAACACAAAAAAAAACCCACTCAGGTGTATATAATAATTTACATTTCCAAAGGGCACATTCTGCAAGTCTGCTCCTGGCCACCAGCTCTTAGTCCTTCTCCTTTTAGTCCATGAATCTACAGTCTTCAGCCGCTCCCCATCTCCATGCCCCCATCTCTGCCTACATCTCTGGCACTGCTGCTTCTCTGGATAAAGCCCCACATTCTACTTGTGCGTTCCTCTCTTGATGGTCCTAGGGTCCTCTGTTTCTGGACTGTAAGATTAACCACTCCCCTTTTTTGTTACAAAACTTCTACGTTTACAAGTGTGACAGTCATGATA